TTTCAGCCTTCCAGGTCAATACTCTATTTGACAGTTTATTTTATCTTACAAATAGGCAATGACACCATGAAATCCGGCGAGTCTCGTAACCCTTGCCTTGTTCCCTGGGAAAAGTTAGCCAGCAGTAGAAAAGTACGTGGATATTCCCTGAGGATTGCGAAGTGAGCTGTAGCACACAAGAGTGACCTTTGTATCAGGCATGCTCGCTTAGACAGTTATCGCCCTGAGTAGAGAATTATGACAACATACCCAAATCGAGCTCTGGCAGGACATCGAAGTCAGGTTCCTTGTCTGGGGCAGGTGATGGTTTGATGTCAAACTCAATGGGCTTGCTGACGAGCTGGTCATTTGGCGCCAGCGGTCCAGCCGGCATTTCACCGGGCACCCTATTGATTCCGCTGGCTTCGCTGATGACAACACAACGTGCCTGAAGGGCAGAAGCAGTGTCGCGCAGGCCAATGATACGCAGAGTACTTCCGCCAGGACCAGGCGTGAACTGCACATCTTTAGCCAGCGCACTGGTGTCTATGGGCTTTCCGTCCTTACGCTCAATCACCCACTGGTAGATCACATTGTTCATGGCCTTACCTGTGGCTGGATCTAAAAGTAGACGTTAAAACATGTAAGGCGCGGGCCTGTGAGATAAAAGTTGGTGTAAATGCAGTAGTTTATGGAAGAATTTGGATGGGTGCATCAGAACTAACGGACAAAGTAATGGTGGTAACTGTAGTACTAAAAGTAGTAGTTGTACCAGTAGTCGTAGTATTAGCAGTCATAGTATTAGAAGTATCAACAGCATCACGGTTGGAATAGAAGCGCCTTTAGTAGTCGTGCGCTAACCAATCGCAGACAGCTGAGACGAAAATTTCGAGCGACTGTGGGATTTAAGCATGGGTTCATCTCTGATGCCTCGCTGGCAGGATAAAATCTGTCATCTTAACGCCAACAAAGCAGGTACTACTTTGTATTTTTTATTCCCTACATCTGACTAAGTTTTACTGGGTGATATGTCTGGAGATCAAACCGTATTTTAGGACATCTTAAGATGCTGAATTGGGAGAAAGACAAAAAATACATTGTAGTATTCGCATTGCTCAAAAAAGACGGAAGCATTTTAAGCTCCACAACTACAGTTCAAAAGTGTGAAAATTGAAGGACTCAAAAGCGTCTTCAAATTTGTTGGCCAAACCTAATTACTTGCGAAAATGAGATCCTAGGAAGAATGAGCATATGGAAATAACTCCAGCTATTTTTTGCTGATGGTATCAGAGAGGCTGATTCTCCTCTAACGTACTTTCAGACACACCTTTAAGGGTATTGAAAGTGCACACCTGGCCTGCGTACTGTTAAATGGCTGGTAGATACCATGCATAGAGCATGATGGATAACAGCTTGGGCAAATACAACCTTAACGTTGAAACTCGAAATATGTATGATCTAAGGTTTTCTAGCTACCATTGAATCTGCGACGGCTTAAACGTCTTGTTTGCCATGTCCAGAGAACGTTGCGTTGTCATTAAAGCGTAGAAAAGAAATTAACATACAAGTAACACAGAAGCACATGTTGGGAGTATGTTCTCCGATTGAGGTACAGGAAAAGCTTGTAGAGTTGTGCATTGGGACTTCATCTAGAGTTCAGGAAGCGGGTTATCAGCGACAAGTGGTACTGCTTGAATGGGATTACCATGAAAGACAAGGAAGATTGTGCTGGCCATTTCCGGCCGTCAGCAGCCCTACATAATCACAGATTGGGGTCCTCTGAGCCCCGGTCACCATTCTTTGGTAATCGAGCAATTGACGGAAGAAGAAGCCCATGGCTCAATTGGTAAAAGGTGGGACATTTTAACTATTTATGGGCAAGGAAGGTAGGCTCTAGGCCCAGGCCCTGCAAAACCTAGATTCTGGTTAGGCTAACTGATGACAGGTATAAACAGCAATGGCCAACCTAGACAGTTTTGTTTTTGCTAGTAATTAACAGTTAAGCAGTCGTGTTTACGTCTTTGAAATAAAAGCAAAGTAGATGGTTAAACGACAAGATATTGACGCAGGGTCGATCCAATAGGTGGAAGAATGGCTAGGTACTTTAAAATAGACTTCTGTTGTTGCTTAACAGGTATCCCAGAAGGACAGGAACATAAAGCATATCAAAAACAAGGTAATTCAATCATCGACAGGTGTTTTTGACGGAAATTAGGGAGACTGGGAAAGGTCTATTCATGAATTGCTCGTCGGCAGCCAATCATGGCCCGAGGATACACGAAGCTTGGATTACGGCTTCTTAATCATGGCGTCCCAAGTTCGTTTTTGTGCCACACAGTGTCCACTTTTATTGGAACCCATAGTCAGGACAAATAAGTGAATGTAACTGCGGCATGAATCAATAAATTGCTGATTATAAGTAGTGCTCATGGCTTTCCGCAAAGTTTGAGTGAAAGCCTTGACGAAAAACTAGGCTCCGTCTGTTTACAGGTCAATGGATGTTTATGAATAAAATAAAGTAAAATAAATCTGACTCGCTTCCATCTTTTACGCTAAACGGTGCAATGTAAACTACAGCTATCGCCATCTAATTAGCAAATAATGTCGCTTCTATTCTTAACATATTGCAAGTTTAGAGGAGGTATGAGCGACCGTACATTTTTCAAAGTAAGTCAGATACATGCACATCTTCTAAGAATTAACATTTGTACAAAATATGAATGGTACAGAATTGGCGTTAACAAGAGCGTAACATGTCAGGACACCTACAGAATAACCATAGTAACATCTACAAGAGAAAACAAGAAAGGTATAATAATATCTTACCTTGCACATCGCAGGTCAAAAGAACACTATCGCCCTCATCAGCCGTGACCTTGCCATCTTTTGTGCCCCCTATATTGACCTTTGATTTCTCATCTACAATCGGACACAGAAGAAACCGAGAGAGAATCACATTTAAACGAGTTGAGATTCACTTAAAACACCCAACTGAAGGAGAATATTCAAATTCAATACAAGTATTGGGGACCAGGGACATTGCAAGGGCAGGGAAAATTGTAGTTAAAGGGATTGCTTTGCTTCGTTTTTAAGAAACCAACGGAGGTATACATGCAGGTTTACGGTCATTCAAATAAAAATATTTAGATATTTTTAATAGCTAGGAAAACATATAAATAGGATCCTTCCCCCACGGACATGACAGAAGTTGAAAATAGCCAAACTAACAAAACAGAATCAGCTGGTAAACAAGTAATCGTTGACTCCGTATTTAACCTTTTCTCTCTCTCTGGCCAGTGTACTACTTACCTTCGCTCGGAAGCTCCTCCAGGATGGTTGGGGGCTGTTCGGGTCGGGTTTCAATAGCGATGAAAGGATCCGAATCGACTGCCTGGGTGACAGAGGGGTCCGCGCTGCTGGGGAACATGGCGATGCACTTGCCCACTAAAGGACCCTCGTTCGGGAGGAGTTTTGAAAGCTCAGCGTCTTTTCGTAGGCCGGTCATTGTGATGCTGTTTCCGTTCATTTCAATGCGCTCAAAGAGGAAACTTGGCATGACCACATCGCCAGAGGCCGTTGTAAATGTCCATTTGAATTTAGCTTCTCCTAGTTGTTCCCTACTCTCGGCATCTATATGGATGCCAAAAAAATAAAAAAGTTTCAAAGGCCATCATACAGTGTACTTATCTTCAAGACGAACCTCTGTCTGCATTTAGACACAGGCCGGCGAGACATGGTGAGTCAAAAATTACAAAAGGACTCTTCTTCTCAATTTCCGATTTAACTAAAAGTGGTAAACCGCTGTAGACGCAGGGAATAGAAACACTTCCAACAGATGTTTTGTTAGTTTGCTGTGATTTGTTGAGCCCTTTGATATGCATCTTCAGAACTGTAGATTTAGTTTCCTAAACCCTGCTAAGGTTACAGAAGAGGCGGTACTTGGAGCCAGCTAATAACGTTTTGCCAAATGGTATCGGAGGCAAATCAGCGAATATAAACCCCATAGAAAAGAGACGTACAGAAACGTTAACCGATGTTGTCGAATCAGCATCCAAAAGTGCCTCCACCTTGAGACTTTCTACCGACGTAAAACACGGCCTGGCGTTATGTCTTGAAGGTAAAGGCAGTTAAATTCCACCTATGGTGCAGTCAAGCTGCATTCATGAAACAAGTCAATATCTGAGGTCAAAATATCAGTGTCTAGGCTGACCGGCGGCCGAGATAGGTGATGAGTGGCGCGTGGTTGAATTAGCGACTTGTCCGTATCTGGGAGAACAAGGTTCCGATACAG